AAGGGAAATGACAAACACGTCATACTAAGCGGGAGTCATACAAAGCATAGTCTTAGAAAATAAACAACTTTCTATTTTGGTTAGTTATTTAGTTTAATAGAGAGAAAAACTACAAATTGTATATATTTATTAACAGAAAAAGAAAAAGAACGATGAATTGTAATATCAATATACGTAAGAAGGGTCAAAAAAATGAGCGAAAATGTTATTATTAATCGTTTGGGTCACTATAGCCGGATTCTTGATAATCAGTAATAATAAACGATATGTCATTTTAAAAGGAGTCGTTATATCCAAACTTTCCTATAGAGAATTTAATATGAAAACCAAACTTAACACTGCAATTACTTCATATTATGCGGTTGGTCCAGTGGCGGATTATTCATAAGGCAAAGTAAGCATATGCCTAGGGGCAAGGTTAAAAAGGGGCCCGCGCGGAAGTTTTTAAATTTTGTGCAAAATATTCACCACCAGAGGGGCGTCTATGAGGTGCTAGCCTAGAGCACTCTCAACATTTAATGCGCCTCTGGGTTGGTCAATATTGACGGAGTCATAATAACCGAATTCCACTGAATTTGCGAACAGTAATCTATTCCAGGTCCATCTTTCCTGTTTCTGCCTCTGTTTCTGACTAGACCTTCATGCATGAGAAGGTGTCCTACCGACCTATGTCGCCTATTTTTTATTGACTTCCACAGAGTCCTCTGTTTTCCTATTTTTTCTAATACCTATTCATTTCTAACCTCTATCTACGGTATCCTTATCATTAGCTTGTAACACCACATTTCGAAGGCTTCTAACCTTTTCTTTTCCGCGGCGCTCACTGTCCATGTTTCGCACCCGTACTGTGCCGCGCTCCATACATACACATTTACCATTTTTTTTCGAATTACTAAATTAATGACGTAGTTGTCTAACGATGAGGTGTATTCGTTTACTTGCTTTATTAACTGATAAGTGATTTATTTCTAATTTCCGGGTGTTATTCTTTACTGGGCGGCATAGTCGGTAATTGTAGAAGCAATACAGATTAGAGTAAATGCATGATTCCTACGCATCTTAATTCAAAAGCTTAAATTATTGTTTTTGGGAGGTACAATTAACTCAGTTTTACATGCGAACCCCCATCGTCCGATATCAATGATTTGGCCGACCAAGGTTCAGCGGAAAGGTCACTGGGGACTGCCACTAATAAGTACAGAATCTATTCGCATATCAGACTAAACCATCAATGCTAACTGTGTTGGAAAATGAGAACTTGTATGTGAAATACAATACATTTTTAATAGTGGTTAATATCAAATATTAATGTGAAAATTCATTTTCAATTTCTTACCCACTATAGCAGTATAAACGTCTAGCAAGGAGGAGTTAGAGATAGCTTTAAATAAAATGGATGCGGTATTAACAAAACAGAAAATAAATAAAAGTAAAACAAAAATACTAGTATGCAAGGGAAGAAAAAGAGGGAAAGAGCGAAAATAAAGATTAGAAGAAGTGGCTGATTTTAGGTATCTAGGAACACAGATAAGTCAGGACGGAAGGAGTAGTAGGGATATAAAGCAGAGGGTAGCGAAGGGCCGAGTCGCCTTCAATAAAAAGAAGTCACATCTATGCTCGCGAACGGTTAATTTAGAAATTCAAAAAAGGTTGTAAACGTGTATGTTTGGAACAGGGATGTAACGGAGGTAGTTTTATCGGAACCGAAGGCGGAGTCGGAGTGTTTAAATTTGCTTTATCGGAGTCGGAATCAGAGTCGGAGGCAGGGTCAGAAGTGGTGGCATGAGAGAGAATTTTTATTTAAGGACAAATGAAAGATTATTAAGTCAAATTTTTTTCATTTCAATTTTCGGGGGATTCCCGGCGCGACATGTATGAAGTTCATACTATAAACCTGTTCATAACAGTCGACACAGGCCGCCGCGCCGCCGCTATGTTATGCTTCGACCTCCGATTAAAACCTTCGATTTAAAAGTGTCGGAGCCGAAGTCGGAACCGAAGGTGTAATAATAAATAAATAGGAATAAATGTAACATCCCTGGTTTGGAGCACGGTGCTGTACGGGAGCGAAACATGGACGGTAGGCGCTGCAGAGAAGAAAAGGTTAGAAGTTTTCTAACAAGTGTTACAGGCGAACGATGAGGATAACGTGGATAGAAAAGGTTAGAAATGAAGAGGTATTAGAAAGAATATGAGAACAGAGGACTCTATAGAAGTCAAAAAGAAATAGGCGGGATAGGTTGGTAGGACACCTTTTTAGGCATGAAGGT